CCTGGGATACATCTCGGAGCTTGAATGGATTTTCTTTTGAATCATTTGTTTTTGATTTATCTATCTACAAAATGGGTTTAGGTAACACCTTTCGGATAATCGAGATTCTAATATAGCTATTTTCTAGAATTTTGAAGCTTGGTTCTAGCTTTGCGTTTCTTTTCTGGACCTGCAAAGGCGTCTCGGATAAGTCCTGCGTTTCTAATGTCACGGTCACAGATTAACCTAAAGTACTGTTTCATATTATCAGTAGACCGAGGATCTTTCTATAGAATATGAAGATATGTTGCACCTATTGCTAAGCATAATAGTCACTGAGGTGTTTATTTCTCTCTTTAACCCTTTCGTGCTGAGCACCGCATATATGCAGCATCCACTCGACGACCTGTGGGCACGGGCGCCGCATATATGCGGCATCGAAATGAAGTGTATGCAGAAGACGCAAATGTGTAATTTGTAGCAAACATGATAAAAGAACGGATTCGCGGTACGAGTGCAAAGATTGCGATGTTGGCCTTTGTATAGATCCTTGCTTTCAAATATATCGCACAGAGTTATACTATTAGGTTTTACATATTATTATCTTTTAATAATTTTCGTCTCGTTATTAATTATATTAAACATTTAATCGCAAGGCTTTGCAATTATATAAATACCTATGTTACCTATAATTTTGCAAGTCTTTTTAAATTAAGAATGTAAATATACTTGCTACATTAGAGCAACGATTGTTTTATTCGCACAGTTATTATTTAAGACCTAGAACAACATATATACAGAAACCACGCGCACTGTGCATATTTCTGGAGCGAGTTTCCGTTCAGTGACGGTACTTCGGCGGATGGAGCTGCCATAGTGAAAGGGTTAATAGTTTCAGTAGATTAATCATAAAATATATCAATACCGTCCAGTTCTTTTAACGATTCTATTATTTCAAATTACAGTTATACATTTTTGTAGTAAATACATAAAATCTGGAGTCAAATTATCAACTGATATAGCAAGCAACATGTCCATTATGGTCCAAACACCATTTCCAGTTAGAATCGAATGTTGAAAAAGGAATTGTATCTTTAGCCACATTGAACTTAGTTTGAGCAAACTATATCAAACCCACTATAATAACGAGAAACAACAAGATTTCAAAGCCTGTCAACACACGTCGCCGTTCTCTCCGTATCGCTCTATCGCTCCGAAAATTGCAGGATTCTCTCGAGTGACCGATATTCGATCTGTCGTATCGCTGCCAAGAGGCGTAACAACGACGGCAAAAGCCGCCATCAGAAGTTCTAGAGAAGCTTGGCAACTTTTCCCAAAGCTCGGAGAATCGGCTCTCGTTTTCTATCGTACAGGGAATAATATCGGTCGTAGTTATCGATCAGGAAATCGTTGAATCGTTTGTTGGAGATATTCCAGCGACGTGGAATTGGCAGCGTAGCGTGCGACGCCGGTTGCCGATCGATCGGCAGTTCGAGAGACGCTCGGATAAACGGGCCAGGCCGGGCCGGGCCGGGCCGGACCGAGCCGGACCGACGCGGCGGGGAATAGCAATAAAATAAATTGGCGTTATGCCCGATTCTTATCAATGAGATATGCACTTTCTCCGAACAATGGGCGTTATTATGTAATGTGAAATATATTCAGTTTCCTCGTGTGTTCACTTTCCTCGATGCCACGATAATGGCGGATCGTTATTCAAAATTCTATTCCGACGCGTTAAGTGGCGCATGATTTACCGCCTTTCTCGTGCCGCGCTTTTATTCAGAGACTGTCCGCCGGTGAAACACACAGAGAGACACCGTAAACACGGGGTTTTAATGCGACCGGGTCGATACGATCGAAAATATCCCCCCTTATTCGCCTCTCCGTCCCTCCGTCATTCTACCTGTGCCCGGGTTCGTTCACGCGCCGAAAGAAATCCCCTCGGTGAACGGCGACAAACACCTGTCCCAGCCCGCTCTACCGCTTTTATTCAACACCCCGCGATGCCGCAAGCTGATCGGAACGAACAATCGGATTTTTATAAAAATATTTCTACTAACGAATCACGCGAACGTATTCAGGAATATGTTCAGATGGGAGAGTGAAACGAAAATGCTCGAATCCGGATCTGGACACCGAGCGAATTTTAAAAAGGCGATATTTATTCAAGAATTTCAGGTGCGCGTGTTTCGAAATATACTACTGTGATCAAAAAGTAAGGTGAATTTGTTTATAAAATGTAAATTCTTTATTTATTCTTCCAAATCAATTTCATCCCCTTCAAAGTAATCCCCGTCCGATAAAACGCACTGTTTCCGACGCTTTTTCCAGTCCTCGAAACAGTCGGAATAGTCTTTTTCCGGTATAGTCTTCAAGACCTTCTTCGATTCGGTTTTTATCTCCTCAAACGTGTCAAAACGGCGTCCCCGCATTGGCTTTTTGAGTTTGCTGAATAACCAGAAGTCGCACGGAGCCAAATCAGGCGAATACGGTGGTTGCGGAACGATATGAGTCGAGTTTTTGGCAAAAAAGTCGCGAAGAACCAATGCAGTATGACATGGCACCAATCGAGACTTGACGCGTTTGAGACACAAAACATCCTTCAAAATGGTTTGGACTGAGCCAAATGATATTCCAACACTATCAGCGAGGTCTCTCATTGTCATTTGACGATTTTCAAGCACCAAATCTTCGATTTTTTTGGACGTGGCCCTCGTCGGTAGACGTTGATGGTCGTCCAGAGCGCGGTTCGTCTTCAACGCGTTCTCGGCACGCTTTGAACTCGTTGTACAATACGTATATATATACTATTTGTTTGTGTTAGTATTTTCCTCCTTTTATGGCAGAAATAAATAAATGATATTTGTACCAATAAAAATAGTATATATATATACTATTTTTATTGTTCCAAATAGCAATAGTATAGTAGAATAGTATATATATACTATTTTTATTGCTACAAATATCATTTATTTATTTCTGCCATAAAAGGAGGAGAGTACCAACGCAAACAAATTGATCAATTATCAAAATATTTAATTTTTCGTCCTCCAAGATGGCGATTAGCAGCAGAAATGGTGGGGCAATCAATCGAGCCCGGCGATAACACTCAGCGTCCGTGTATCGCGGTAATTAAATTATCCGCGCGACGAGGTCTGCAATTACTAATCCGCGGGCCGATTTTTTATCGGGCCGCGATTAGTTCCCGTCGGCCGACAAGCGCGTAGATTAATTAGAAAAACCTGCCTAACCCCCATGGCTAATTAATGGCCGCCGGTTCTCGTTCGGGAGGCAGGGCGCGCACGTTCCGCTCAGGAAATTCGCGGTTTGCGCGCCGGTGTATGTCGGCCGTGGAACGATATACAAGCCGCGATTTTGCACCTCGTCTGTGATTATAGTGGGCGTGACGGGGACGTCACGGTGCCCCGGGAAAATTATAATTATTACGGAAAGCCGGCGCACGGCGCGGCTGGTTTATTTGTTGGAAAGCGCCCCGGCCCCTCGCGTTGATTAACAAATTGCCAATTCCGCGCGCGATTGCAGTCATTATTCCAGGGATCACGGGGAAATCCCTGTACCCTGCCGAGCACGATAAATCGCTCGCGATCCGAGCGTGATTCAACAGCCGAAAGGGGTACGGAGTTTCCTCGGTAACCATAAACACACGCGATCTCTCCGCGCCGGTTAAAGTGATACTGGTTTTGTTGCAGTCATTCCGCTGCGGAACGATTCGAGCGGTTTCGTTTCTGCTGGAAGATCGTTCGGATTCTCGAATTACGGTTCTGCCGATTTACATGCGAAATCCTGGTTCCGCCGATGGCGGAAAATTGCCTAAGTAATGCTGATTTGAATAGAGATTCTGCGAACGGCGAGTTTCTACGAGGAACAGTGTCGTTAGCTCTGATTGTTTTTTTTAAACTCGATCGATTCTAGGTACTAGAATCTGTGCTGTTCCGTTTAGTTTGTTTATGCGTATGCATCGTTGTTTATTATGATTTATTATAGACTTGTAATATAAACTCATTAGTCTTAACAGATGCACAAATAGAGCAACGCAAGTATAAAGATTATATCCGTGTTATATATTTATGTTTAATTATACATTTATGTTTAATACTACATGCGTATCTTGTTAAGTAAAGATTTTATGGATGTATTCGCACTGTTTCCGATTTAGCGAGTATGTTGTTGTGTATGAAAAGATCGCGCTCTACTCAGAATCGATGGAATATTGTTAGAGAAACGCTACAGTGGAATTTTTTTATGCGTTTATGCGTCCAACGCTATTATGGTATTATTACGTATTATGGTATTTCAAAGGATACAGATTATTGTTTAACCAGTTAGCTGTGGCGCCTCCATTTCAGAGCGCGCATCTATATGTGTCGCGAGAATCAAGCGACGACGAGTATATTCGTCGAACACAATGTAAGTGTCGCTGTTAAAATATTGGATCAAAAAGACGGTTTTATTTGATAAAATTAACAATTTTATTACTAATATTTACTTGTTCATTTGACGTTAACATATACCATATACATAATAAACGAAAAACCCAGGGATAATCGAATACTTGTAAAAGTTAAAAATTCAAATTGCTGCTGTAGAGAGAGTGGTATTTAGCAAAGCAAGGAACAACATATAATGGCACTTTGCACGTCGAACACCAATACCGTGATCCTTTTCTAATTTTATTTTTATAACAATGTAAACATCTTCGTGCAGGATCGGCCTCAAAATATTCTGAACATCTTGAAATTTGAGAATACGTTTTTGTTTTCCTTAAAATTACAATTTAAATAGCCAATGGTCGCTGCTTCTTACGCGCGACGAGTATACTCGTCGTGTCACAAAATATTGTCATTTCTCCATAACGAGTATACTCGTCAAACACAGCTAACTGGTTAAGGTAAAATCTGGTGTATAATATGTAGGCTATTCCGTGGAAGGGAAATTGTGTAATGAATTTGTCAGAAAAGAAGATTGCAACAAGTTTCTATCCGACGAACAATACACACCTGTGCAAACGTGCGAGGTAGAGAAGAAACGACGACACATGCTTAGCGTTGAAGGGTTCTCTTGTAGCTGGTACATCCTCGAACTCGAGAACAGGTCTGCCGTTTACGTCCGTGTACCCTGTAAGCAAAAAATTGGTGGATTAATTATCGTCGAACCGTTAATTGGCATTTTATGGTACTCGGTTCCACAAGAAAATTATTTAACAAGATTATTGTCCACGTTGAATATCGTTGTACGTAAAAACCTTATTATACACGTATCAGGAATAGAGACAAGGTTAATAAGACCAATTAGCAACGTAAAATCTGAAAATTGTGATTTTATCGATGATCATCTAATACTAGATTATCGATTGACTCTAAATGTTACTGCTAAATACCAACAAATCAACACGAACTAGGATATCGTTCTCGCTCGACCATGTTAAATAAACCGAAAGTGGAATAAAATTGGAATCGAAAGCCGTCATCGGACTCCGTAATTAATACACAATAATAACCCATGAAGCAGTTAACTGTACTACACACGCATAACATTTTAAGGTCCAATTAACCCGCGCCAAGAACACCGGAACATCGGCAACTCGTACGCGAGCACAACTCTTTCCGTACAGCGACTTTCAACGCCCATAAAACCGCTCAACATACTCTCATTCAGAATTACCTAGTGCTCTAATAGACCCGATCTACCGCGAACGTGTTAATCTAATTTATCGCTCGTAATCGGTCGGCAGCGATTCTTTGGGATGAATGGCGCTCATCAAAAGATTCCGAGCGCGGTAAATGAGCAGAACATTAATAATCGCGGACAGATGTAACGATACGATAAAACACAGATGTTCGCCGGTTAATGAAACAAGTCAGGACGAGTTTACTCATCCGCGATCGGTGGGTGTGGAAAAAATCGCCGGCTACCCGACGAGAGAGGACTGCGGGAGGATCAGCTTTTACAGTATTCTCGCGGCAACTGTTAAAAAGACTACTAAGATAACTTTCAGATTTCTATCCTCGCCACTAGAAGAATCCTAAAAAAAAACAGTGTAACATTGCAATCTTTCACATTCATAATATTGTTTATTTGAAACTCCAGAAAAGTTCCAGAAAAGTTCCAGAAAGATTCCAGAAAGGTTCCAGGAAAGTTCCAGAAAGGTTCCAGAATGGTTCCAGAATGGTTCCAGAAAGGTACCAGAAAGTTTCCAGAAGTTCCAGAAAGGTTCCAGAGTGGTTCCAGAATGGTTCCAGAAAGGTACCAGAAAGTTTCCAGAAGTTCCAGAAAGGTTCCAGAGTGGTTCCAGAATGGTTCCAGAAAGGTACCAGAAAGTTTCCAGAAGTTCTAGAATGGTTCCAGAATGGTTCCAGAAAGGTACCAGAAAGTTTCCAGAAGTTCTAGAATGGTTCCAGAATGGTTCCAGAAAGGTACCAGAAAAGTTTCAGAAAAGTTTCAGAAAGTCTCCAGAAGTTCCAGAATGATTCCAGAATGGTTCCAGAAAGGTTCCAGAAAGTTTCCAGAAGTTCTAGAATGGTTCCAGAAAAGTTCCAGAAAAGTTCCAGAAAGGTTCCAGAAAAGTTTCAGAAAAGTTCCAGAAAGGTTCCAAAAGTTCCAAGGGGCCGATAAGGGGGGCTACCTGATTGCGACCTTTGAATCACCCGCCACGTCCTTCCGCACAGTTTTTCGATATGTAATCAAGTGCATACTTCTGACCTTTTATTAGCAACTTTAACACTAATTATCTCAAAATTGATATGCCGCCTACCCCATGAACCAAATATCATTGGATTCAGCTTCTAAGTTCTATTACTATACCAAATCTCATCAAGAAGCGTGCGTCAACTCTGGGGTATCTTCTTTTATCAGGTGGACGGCCGCCTTATGTTATCAAACGATCGACTGTAAACCAAGCTGCCGTTTCCGTTGCAATCATTGTTGCTGTTGGCCATTATTGTCGACGTTGCCATTATTTTTGCCGTTGCCGTTAACGTTACTGTTACCGTTGCTGTTGTCATTGCTGCTGTCGTTGCCATTACTGTTGCTGTTGTTTCTGTCGTCGTCTGGGAGTAGGTCATCGCCAGGCGGAATCTTTCGGTTACAAAACTGCGATCGGTGACTGAGATCGATGAAATTGTAATAACATATCGAACACGTAGCCGATCGCCGCCGGATAACGTGAAATAGGGGACATCGTAAAATCTTATTGTCTTAATCGTGACCCAAGCGACGCGACTAGCATCGGTATCGCTTCGAATCGAGGCTCACGAGTGATCTTGGTTTACAAGCTTGGGTATCGTGCTATGTGCCGCGGCGCTCTTTGCCGATCCTGATCTGCTTTTATTTAGAGGATACGCTGTCTTAAAGAGGCTGTAGACTTTGGCTGGCTTGACTACGTTTGACGGAGTTTACTTAATCGCTTCGCGTATAGTAGAATAGTATCCAGTCAGAGTCGTGGTAAAGGTTTTGTAATTGACTGAACATGAATGTTACTCGGAAACGATATTTGATTTACCCGTTATCAACATCTAGGAATAGTAGCAAATGAGCCGTTTATTTTGGAAGTGGCATAAGTCACTTTTTCAAAAAAATCGAGTTAATGGTAACACTAATTACAATTGAACGGTATCTTCTCATTTAAAAAAAAAGTGACTTATGCCACTTTCAAAATAAACGGCTCAAATGTAGGCGTTCGAAAAAAAATTGTCCCTTTCTGATAGGGAAATTATTAAAAACAGTGGGAAATAGTCGATACGCGAGTTTCTTGTTTACGAATACATGAATAATTAACTGAAATAATTAATAAATATAAATTTGAGGAAAATAATTCGGAATTGAATTAATACGGTGAATAGGTTAAAGGAGTACAGTAATGTCTCCCTAACTGACGCTCCGATTGCGCACAAAAATGGACAATTTGGGAAGAGGAGATACGATTGTTCGAGCCTTGTGACTTGTTTTTTATGGTTATCGATTGTCAACAACTATAAAAACGAGCTGCAAAGCTCGAATAATCGTATCTCCACTTCCCAAATTTTCCATTTTTGTGCACAATCTGAGCGTCAATTAGGGAGACATTACTGTATTCAGGTTCAGTGAATGAATTACTCCGTTTTTATGTAATCGAGGTTCCTGGTTTGGTGGCCAGGTTGTTACCTTAGCGAATGAATGCTGCTCCTATGGATAGTCGTTCGATTAGAACCATTCGTTCGGTTTAACTTCCCAAGGAAACAGAAGCAGAGAAGAAAATAAGATGTTGAATAGAAGACTGTTCTAATTAACCAATTATGTTCCAATAACGGTTACTCTAGCAGTATAATATATAAAGATATAATAAGATATAATATAATAAGATATAATATATATATACGTATATAAGATTACGTAGTTATGACAAAAAAAGACTAACTGAATGAAAACTGTTGCTCGAAGTCGTCTATTTAGAACGTATAAAATAATAACTAAGGATCTAGTTAACTCCTGTTTCTTGCAATCGATGCAGAAAGTAGTAAAAACATTGCAATAGAAAGAAAAAATGAATTTAGCATATATTTCTCATAATTAGACTGCAGATTTGATACATTTACGACTTATGTTAAAATCATTTAAATAATTTAGAAATACTGTCGACATACTATTTTTATTCGACACGATGATCTGTATAATCCTTCGATTAATTCTATAATTGAGGAAGGTTAAATTATTACCATTAAATTTCTTTAGCAGAGGAATTATTTCATAAATTCTTGTGCAAGTAGCCTGTGCGATTAGTCTTACGGATTACAGACTAATGGAATTTGAATACACGTTAACTGGAAGAAGAAAGGGAGCGATCGGACGAGCAGTCGGGGTGAATGAAACCCCCGTCCGAGGCCGAAAGTGCATTAGCATTAGCACCCTGAGAATTTGCGGGCGTGCACGAGAGCTTAAGCGTCTGCCCACTGGCATCGGGCATTATTATCGCGTTACCACGTAATCGTCCGTATAACTTACGCCGGCATGAATTATCATGGACGCCCGGGGCGTTTGCCTTTCGGCAAATTTCAAGGTGTTGCGATCATGCTCATCGCTTCGTCGTAACGGCACGTGGCGTGAGCGTGTGATCGCGCGTGTCAGCGTTCCTCGGCTTCGCCTTCGATCGAAGCAGCGACGCGATGCCGTTGCCAAACTTCTAAATGGTACCCTCAAATTCTGATCACCTTTCTTAACCCTTTCGCTACGGCAGCTCCATCCGCCGAAGTACCGTCACCGAACGGAAACTCGCTCCGGAAATATGCACAGTGCGCGTGGTTTCTGTATATATGTTGTTCTAAATATTAAATAATAACTGTGCCGAATAAAACAATCGTTGCTCTAATGTAACAAGTATATTTACATTTTTTTATTTAAAAAGACTTACAAAATTATATGTAACATAGGTATTTATATAATAAATATAATATATATATAATTATATATATATAATAATAATTATATATATAATAATTATATATATAATAATAATTATATATATAATAATTATATATATATATATATAATTTTTTAATTTTTATTATAAATAAATTTTATTGATTAAGTGTTTAATATAATTAATAACGAGACGAAAATTATTAAAAGATAATAATATGTAAAAACTAATAATATAATTCTGTGCGATATATTTGAAAGCAAGGATCTATACAAAGGCCAACATCGCGATCTTTGCACTTGTACCGCGAATCCGTTCTTTTATCATTTTTGCTACAAATTACACATCCGCGTCTTCTGTATACACTTCATTTCGATGCCGCATATATGCGGCGCTCGGCACGGAAGTGTTAAACAAAGTTAGCACGAATAAACTGTATCGAAATTTCCCATCCTATCATTCCACGCAAATATCGCCCGATGAACAAGCCACGTGCGAGCATTTTCTCGAGAAGAGCCATAAGCAGACTGTGTCCGTCGTCACGGGTGAAGAAAAAAAAACCCGATCATGCTGAAAGCGCCGATCTAGCCATCGATATTCACGGTCCGTCGAGGTCGCATTTCCTTTACGATCCCGAGCTCCGCTTCCTCTTTTTCCCCGGAAGGCCGAGGCCGATTCGTACCGATACGTCGTCTCCGTGTGTTCAAGCCGAAGAAAAACCGGG